TGTTTAAGGTTCCTCAGATAAGAAGTATTCATTTCATCCTGTAAATTCACCTCAGTTGACTCCTTATTTACACTTGTATTAGCCTTTGAGCAAGAACTTACGCCTGGGAGCAAAGGAAATGAACGGCCGGCAAGAGAAAGAACTTCCGTGCAGCACGCAAAGTGTTTGAATCTGCCCCAACCATGTGTTCCGTTTTCTTTCCACAAAATGTTTCTCCATTTCAGGAGCATGTTCAGTCCAGGGCCTGTGCAAGGAAACTAAGGGTGCAAAGCAGATACACCCAAACAGAAGCCACTGGATTGCTATTTACACATGAATGGACTAAAGATTTCCTAAACCAGATCTCACAGAAAATAATTTGCAAGCTATAATATATATTTTGATATATTGGGGGTTTGGGGGGGGGGGCAGTAGTTAGCCCTTTTGCCTCATACCTCAGGGACCAGGGTTCGAGTCTCTGCTATGGCTCGGTGTGTAAAGTTTGCATGTTCTCCCTGAGTCATGCTAAGGTGAATTGAAGTCACCACACTGCCCATGGGTGTATTGTGTCAGGGTGTCCTGCAATGGGTTGGCGCCCCATCCATGGGTTATTCCCTGCCTTGCACCCAGAGCTTCCAGGATAGGGTCCGGACCCTACTTTCTACCTGACTGTTGAAGAACAGCATTTGGCCCAAAACAATGCAGAGTTGTAATGACATATTAACTGTTTTGCTCTGACCCTCTGCTTATATTAAAATGGAATGATAAAAAAGCAGTATTAAGTATGCACATATATTTTGAAATAACACTTAATCAGCTGACCTTGTTATGGACTGACTATCGATAATGACGAGTTAGTTACCAAATAAAAAATGAAGGCAGCACAGGCTGTTTTTAGAGGCAACTAAATGGAGTTTTTAAAGGGGAATAATATCTGGTTGTGAAGTCGCAGCAGAATATCCATCCATCAATCTTCCATAATTGTTTATCCAGAAGAGGGTGAGTCTGCCTATTTCAGGAAGCAGGGGTAAAAACGAGGGCATGTCAATCCATCACAGTACAGGCAATCAGGCGTTAAGGGCAGTTCAGAGACGGTCTTTCACCTCACTGTCTTTTCTGGACTGCTGGAAGAAATGTTCAAACTGCAGATCCGGGAAGTGTGAGTCCGTCATGCCAACCACTAAGCCAAAGTGCACAGCAGAATGTCACACTTCATTTAACTCAGCTGTTTATCAACATTTAACAAAACTGTGAATATCTTGGATGTGCTTTAGGTGTAATCCAAAATGCATAAATACACAGTGAGCAGTTTCAAGTGGGGCAAAGGCAGTGCTGAGGACAATGGACAGTTTGGACAGTTCCAGTTAATGCAATCTATTTTGGGTTGAAATGTATAATAAAAATGTTTGATTGTGAATTCTTCCGAAAAACTTTTATTTATATAAGATATTGATTTACATTTTGGACAAATTACATTAGTTCTTTTACATATGTGTGAGCTCACAATGCATGAATTTTAGTTTATATTTTATGATAGTTATTAATGTTAAAGTGCATAATATTTTGCACACTTTGCTCAGCATTAGCTGTTTTTAAACGTGCTTTATAAATTGATTTGATTTGAATATTGTGATAATGTATTGTGACTGAGTCAACTATATGTATTTCTGCTTTCTTGAGTAATACCCAATTTCCTGTGAATTCCTGACATTATATAAAAAGGTCAAGTATTGTCTTGGTGATTCTATTAGATATCCCCAGTTTATTACTTACAGGAAACCATATTTGAAATGAGTTTGAGTTTTACTGGATCAGAGCACTGAAAGCAAAAATGACAATCATTCAAAGCTAATTCACATTCCTAGTTGAGAATTTGAGAGTAAAACCAAATGAAATTCCTTTCTGTCCCGGTAGAACAGCATTGAACAAACACATGCAAAAAGTCAAAATAAATTATGCTTTTACCTTAATTGGTTACCTTAATTGGTGAGTGAAGTTATGGTCGTCATACTCTTTCCATTTAAATATAATAGGCTGAACTGCATAAAAACATTAGCTTCACAATCAGGGTCAGCTGTGAAGATGGCTCTTTCAGACTCTGAAAACTCTTCTGGTGAACCAGATATTACTTGTTGCAAGGCCAGATTTCACCTTGTCTTTCAATGAATCATAATAATACAAGCCTAGCATAGCATGTGAAATATATATTTCACAAATAACATCACCTTTCTAAACATGGTCCACACCATTGCACTTTACTGTAAATTACAAAGGTACTGGCCATAAATAATGATATCCTTGTACTTCTGGTCAGATGCTAAGCGCATTTTGTTGCCATTGTACTTGAACTCTGCATGATGGCAATAAAGCTGGATCTGATCTGATCTTGTAGAGCAAGTTTAGGAAAATGCTGTTTGCTACTGGAAATGCTGTATTCTGCTAATGATGTATGATTGTATAGCATAATGTCGTGTCTTGTAACAAAACCTTAGGAAATAAAAGCATCTTTATTGAGAACAGAAACAAGTGACTTCTGATTTCTTGACAAGGAAAGATAATTGAAGTTTTCATTTTATTTTATTTATGTATTTTTTGAGCAAGGGCAACATTTAAATGCATGTGTATAGATGATAAATTAAACCAGAGGTGCCAAACCAATGTCCTACAGATTGACTGCTGCACCTCAGTCCATAGTGGATGAATGTAATAATTTATCTACTGTTATCCATCCATCCATCCATCCATCCATCCATCCACAAAGATTAATCCAGAACTGGGTAAACCTCACAGAAAGCAGCAGATTCTAGTCCATCACAGTACATGCACAAATGGACATTTTCCAGATACTCTGAGGCTGTGCAGATTGAGGACTCTGTGCTCAGAAGGTAGCCAGTTCAAATCCCGCAGAGTGAGTGTCCTAGTGTTGGGCTTTTGAACAAAACCCTTAACCAAAACATCTGCTTCTGGGGTGCTGGATAAACGGCGGACCCTACACTCTATATGTGTGTCTCACAGAAAAGTAAAATGGTAATAAAAATATGAAATTATCAAGAGTGTTGTTGTGCAAGAGGAAACTGGTAACAGGGGTAGAGTTTGATGTTTTAGTACACTGTATATAAACCAAAAAGTTAAGGTGACCGATTATAGTTTTCAGATATCCTGGTAGTTTCAGGAGATGTCAAAGTAAGCTAAGAGATGAACGGACATGTCTGATTCATGCATCCACAGAAGATGCAAAACTGGAGCCAGCAGTGTTTTTTAACGTGAAATGCCTGCTCAGAGCAGTTCTTATTTCCTTCCCTTTAGCACTTATATCTGAGAGTCAGGCTCTTTGTCTTTTCATCTGCCTTAAAAATATGTCTGAGCAGCACGAAAGTCACTCAAATCTTATTGATACCTTAAGTACCTGTTATAAATCATGACAGTTTTAAAAAGTTTTATTTCTTTTTTAACTTTTCAAAATAATAGAGAGTAAAACCTTTTTTTTTTGCCAATTCGGCAATATTGATAAATGATGCAATAATGATGATGAGGCAAACAAAGCCAAAATACAGGCCTGTTCAAAACATGGCAAACGTCTGCAAACTGTCCATAGTGTACGAGTGCGTGTGCAGCCTATGATATGCGCCATGTAGGGTGTTCTTGATGTCTTGAGTTTTCCGTTTCCATTGACAACAAAGAATTACATATTAACAAAGATAAGGTTTTGCTAGCAGGAAACAGTTCCCACATCCATTTGCTTAATACAAATAAGCCTACACACTCCACACTGTCTGACTTTATTTTGTTTGCCGTTTTCCTATAAAATATGTCGAGTCACGTCTTATTTATATCATTTTGAATTATATTGCCATTTCCAACATCCTTCTGTGGCAGAGCAAGGAGACTGGGATACGAAAAACACTGTCCTTCCTGCTATTGATGTTTTTGATGTGTTTCTGAGGAAGTTTACTTTGCAAAAAAAACAAAAAAACATCTGAGATTAACCCAAGGCCAAAACCAAACTTGATTATCTTCAAAGTTTATATATTTTGAAGAGCATTTCATATTTTCCGGAGCAGAACACACAAGGCAGAACTTTGGCCTATATTCTTTGGATTTGGATTTTTTTAGCTCAGACACACAATCCTTATCCAGGATATTTCCTCATTTCTGCTTGTTGTTGTCATCTGCCTTGTATCCAGATATATGTGTCATTCATACTCATCATAACGACATCATGATATGCACACACGTTCCCAGCTTGCATCCAGACATCACACACCACATTTGTGTTACGAAATAACATTGCAATATCATTATAATGGTTTTGTGTAGAATGCAGGAGTGTCCCTGATGAAAGGCAAGTCATCCTGCTCGATCCTCTCTTGTTTGAAAATGACTGGCATATTCATCAAGGGCCATTTATAGTCTCTTGCACAAAACATGCGGTATTTTTCAGGGAAAATGTCTTAGTTTTGCAGAATTAAATTTCTTTTACCATTTTGTAGTGCTGATGAAATTACACTGGGGCTGCATGTTATTTTAGGATAAACAGACAAACGACAAGTATATTAAATTCCATGGTGTACTCAGCCAGTTTATCTTGATGCATATTGCCCCTTTCTTTATCTCACCAATGTGGTCAACCAGATCCTAAAAACAGAAATAATTCTGAGTGCTATTCTAGACCATAACCACTCTATGTTATGTATGTTTGCTTCTGCAGTGTAAAGTCTAGTATTACTCTAACCTTAAACCACATAAAACACAGCAAGCCTGGCATCTGTGTCTTATTACAGTGTTTCATGGGTGGGAAAGAACTTGCAGTAAATGCCATTTTGGAGCCCATAGGGGATATTCATGCGATTCCAGAGATGTGCACAAACTGCATGGAAATTCAAGGTCACATGATGTTTAGGGAAAAGGCTGCTGTTTTGTGATCTGTGTACTGCTGTACTGGGAGTTACAAAGGATTTATCCTCGCCGGAACCAGTCCCTCATAACATCCGATCAAACCAGCTTAAGCTTTACAAACACTCTAATGACATAAAGAGGAATACATTTATTTGTTTTAACAGGTTAAGGAATACAACAGTAAACAAATGCACACTTCTTCAATACAACAAATGTTAAATGCAAAGATTTATAAAGTTTTAAAATCTGGTAAGTCATAAAATATTTCTATATTAAAAAATACGCTACATACAACCCTAAAACATTTTTTGTGTGCTGCGTTTTATGTGGTTAACTTGAGTATGTTACCGTGGGAAATTACTGGACAGATTCAGTTATTGAACTAACACATATCAGTTTGTTTTGCTGTGGTGCAAAATCACGCACAAATATTACCTGAAAACTGATAACAGATATTTAGTGTATCTATGCTAAGGTTCTGTAATGCCGATGTGCTAACTCAGTTAACAGTACAAGTTCTCTCCTAGATCTCATCATTTCCACTGCAAAAAAAAAAAAACATTTAACGATGTTTTAGAAATATAACAATGATATATAATCATCTGCTACATATACCAGCAACTAGTGGCAGGGCTGACGTATGCATGTATGATACATATCTACGGCCTGCAATTTTTCGTGGAAATAAAAGGCGACAGTCTTCCAAACAAAACACACAGCTGCATTTAAGTCTGATGCAAATCAAACAGATGACTCCACGTCTGTAGTGTGAATAAACAAATAACATTCGGTATGGTCTATATTTATATATAGCACTTGACATTTTAAATATTACACATCCTATAGGCCTACTTCGAAAGAAAAAAATGCAATATATTTAAATACACAGGAGGCCGAATTAAATGAAGAATATGGCGTTAATATAAAACAAATATACTAATTTGACGGCAGTATTACTGCTGCTAATCCAAAATTGTATCTATTTACAAAACATGTAGATTATATTTCACTGTCGATTTCTTGCTCAACAGCAAAGTTGCAATTCTCGATTTATTCATCATTTCGAGGGTTAATCTCGACAGAAGACGTACTCCGTGTAGCTGGTCCAGATCTTGTCCTCGGTCGGGTCGTTGCTCGCATAGGCGCAGGTGCCCGTGGAGCTGCAGGCCACCATGTGGAAGCCGACCTCGGTCAGTCTATCAAACGCCTGCTCCAGGAAATTAAACTTCAGGTAATAGCGCGACGTGTACCTCTCCGGGGGTCTGTCCGGGTCTCTGCTCTCATTCAAAGTATCCCCGAAAACCTCTTTGGCAAGAGATGTCTTTCCACACACAGTAATCCGTGCAACCCTACGGAATTTCGCATCGCTCTGTATATCTCTGCCGATGGTATAGGACCCCCGGTATCCGATCGTTATGTAACCGGACTTTCTGGACTCCGATGATGGGGAGCGCGCATGGATCGCCGCCGGGGACGCGCCGGAGCCCCCCACCGCGCACTGGAGCGCAGCCTCCTCGGGGTCACTGGGACAGATATCCTCGCTGATCGAGTTGTCCTTGCTCATTTTCGGGGCCAGGAGCTTGGATAATTCGCGGAGCTGGAAGAAATCGGCTTCTCTTTGCAGCCTGCATTTTTCCGGAAAGTAATCGGGCAGGACGAGGGTGAGGTCCCGCAGGTAGTCCAAGATGTATCGGAACAGAAAGCCGTCCCTGTCCAGGAAGTAGCGTCCCTTGCTGTCCCGGGGCAGATCTTGGGGGGCTTTCTGGCTGAACATAGTCCAAAGAAGAGAGTCCGGCACAGCTATTAAAGTTCTATGCCGAGTGACGTAAACCTGACCTCCAACGTTGAGCTCAATGATTTCAGAAAAGGTGGAATTGTTGCCGTTGGACAGTCCACGTGCGACGCCCTGCAGAGCCATTTCTGCGCTATGGAAACACAGGCAGGAAATATCAGGACAGTGGGAATGAGCATTTAGGGGTTTGTTTATGTACCCTGAATGGGCTGGTGAAGGAGGAGGGACGGGGCGGCTCATGTGAATGGGAGCTGAAGGGATTAACTCATTCCTTGCATTCCGTGAAGAAATATGCATCCATGTAAAACAAATCCTAAGTTTATAGGATGATAATTCTCCCACGCAACTAAGTTATTTCTGTTGAGTTTTAACGACAATAGGTTTATATTTTATTTTTTCTTAACTTAAAATCATACCAAAACAACTGGAATAGTACCTGGGTGAACCACAGACAAACCAAACCACTGCCCGTCCGTCCGTCCATCCATCCTTTTCAACCATCAACCCAACTTTCAATCGCTTATCTTGCATAGAGTTGAGGGGCATAAGAAAAATGCATGCTAAAATATTTTTTTTTAATTACTCCTGTACACAACGCAAGGACGTAGAGAGAGACCAAATTATTGTGTACAATATGGTTAAATTATTTTTCACTTGCATACACGGAAAAATGAGAGAACGAACTTCAAACTGTTACAGTAAAATTGTGAAAATGTCAAAGCGCCATCTAGTGGAATTAAAATGCATGCACGTATTTTGCTCGTTCATTCTAATTTGTACAATATCTCAGAAATGCGCCCGAAATTTGGAGAGGCGTATCTCTGCAGCCAGGAGCCGAATGTCGAATAGGAGGGGCATTGTCGAATAGGAGGGGCAAGGAGAGGCGTATCTCTGCAGCCAGGAGCCGAATGTCGAATAGGAGGGGCATTGTCGAATAGGAGGGGCAATGTGGCACACACACACATACATAATAATTATGGCTGGTTCTATCTGCATTTGTAAAAGAAATCCCAGAAAAATAACTTGATTAAATTGATATTTTCTTTGCGGAGACTCCTTACTCCTATCTGTGTGGTCTGTGAGTATTTCCCCAACAATAGACTCTCAGTTCTCTCTTGGACTTCATGAAAATTGTCTCCAAAGCGAATAATGACTCTTCCATCGTTCATTATTGTAACTTTATTGTATTGTAAACACACATATTTATTCCTCCACACACACTGTAGGTCAGAAGATGCTTACTCATTGCCTTGTGTGTGAATTCACACCATTTCTATATACTACACAGAACAGTACCCAACTGTATTCTCAAATTCATTGTTCAAAAAAAACCCCTTCTGCTTTTTAGTCTACTTCAAAGCGTTGTTTTTGCTGAGCTTTTTCTCAGTGTCTTGCTGTGCTGTCATTCTGAAATGTTAAATTTAGTTTTGTAACAGGAGGAACACCAGGGTATTGTAAAGAGTGATAACACTGATTTAATTGCAGTCCTTTTTCCTAGTCTTCAGGTCCTTTGATGGGAAACTCAAAAGTTGTGCAGCAATATCAACGTTCAAGCTTTCAGTTGCCAAGATGGTAAAATTGACAAACTTGACTGTATCCCTTGGTGAGAGAAAGTGAAAGACTGGTGTCGTTGTATTTCCCTTGTGGACTTCTGGACAGTGAGCAGTTCTCTGAAAAACATTCATTGACCTCAAATGAGGACCTCTGTAGACGATATTCATACATTTATACAGAAAAACTGTTATAAACTCCTCAACTGAAAATCAGTGGCTCATCCCTTTCAGGCAGAGTTGCATTTAAATTAGTCATTTCTCAATGCGAGCCTGGCAAACATCAGAATCAGAACTCACTTTATTTTCAGCATGTACAAACATACCAGAATTGTTTGTGGTCCAATGCCAAGCATGAAGTACATAACAACATTACAGGAGACACAGTGTAAGACTTCTTACGACAATAAATGAACATAAGAACTAGTGCAAGAACCAAAAATGGTTTTACAATGTAGTGCAAGTTGAAACGATATTGCGTGTATACCATGAGGGAAGATGTCAGACAAAGGGAAGAGAGGCATTGTCTTTGGGAGAGTGGATTGCACCTTGGTGATGGATTACTGAGGCACTAGCCAAGTTTATTAGGAGCTGGACGACTACGGAGAAGAACCTGCAGAGATGATGTGAGTTCCAGGTTGTGATACACTTGTACCTCCTCTGTGATGGCAGTTTGGTGATGAGGTGACTACCTGGGTGGATGGAATCAACAGCAATCTTCCCAGCTCTCCTCTTAGCCCTGGCAGTGAACAGGTCTTCTTGTGTAGGCAGCTGACAGCCTGGGATTTTCTCAACTGATCAGACCACACATTGTAATCTGGTCTTGGAGGCAGCAAGAAACTAGGAGGTGATGGAGGATGTTGTGACACTCCCAGCTACATTGGGAGACGTTGAGCTTCTTGAGTTGGAGGAACAGTCATTTCTGGGCTTTCTTAGTGATGGAGGAGACTTGCATGTCCCACATCAAAGTCCTGGTGATGCTGGTCCCCAGGAATTTGAATGATTCGACCATAGATACGGCCGGGCCATTAATATCCAAGGGGGGGGGATGTGGACGGCGGGAGCCGACTCTCATTTCCCTGTCTTGACCACATGGAGTTTCAGGTTGCTGCTTATGCACAATTCTGCAAGACGGCACTTTTTGCATCACTATAATACTTATGATTGTCTTGAGATAGACACCTTTTTATATAAATACATTTTTTTATATATGCAATCCTAAAAACATAAATAGACTGTTTAACAAATGGACTTTTTACCCATCGTATTCCATTATACTGATGTGATTGGTCTCTTTATGATTAAAATATAGCAGTGATTTTCCTGCAGGTTTAGAGCAAAGTAATTATTTGTGAATTCATGAAGGATACACTGGAAATGACATTTACAAATCTGAAGAAAATCTGTAACAGTTATATAAAGTGGCAGTAGAGAAATTCCTGCCATGATGTAAGTAATATTGGTCATGTTTAAAAACAACGGGGTTGAGCATGATCACATTGTGACTCAGTGGATAGCACTGTTGCCTAGTGCCCCACACCCTTCCTGTGTGTGTGTGTGTGTGTGTGTTATGTATGTATTACGTTGTTGGAACCTAATGTCCCCACAATGTGATAAACACCAGTTATTTTGACATTGTGGGGACCATTTTTTCAGTCCCACGACTACAATCGAAAAACTAAAAATGCCAAAAGTCTCACATTTTGTTTGGTTACTTATGGTTAAGGTTAGGGCTGGGTAGGGGTTAAGGTCATCATGTTGGGATTAGAGTTTTCCCCATAGAAATGAATGGAGAGTCCCCACAAAGATATAATCACAAACCTGTGTAATGTGTGTGTGTGTGTGTGTGTGGGGAGTTTAGATGTTCTGCCCATGTTGTACCCATTTCCACAATATATTCCAACTTCCTCAGCAGTCTAAAGACAAACTTTTAAGCTAACTGCAACAGACTGGCATTCAGCTCAGGGTTTAATGCTTTAGTCTATAAAAGGTAATGGGACATGGAAAAGAGTCATTCTTCAAAGGTATTATTATTATTCCTTAAATTATACGTTTAGCATGTATTCTCCTTATTTTACATAAAGGTAAAATTGTTTTGTCTTGCTGTTCAGTTTTGAATTCTGGCAACACCATGTTACAATTGTCATTGAACTTAATTGTTGAGCTACTAATGCAATTGAATTACATACCAGGCATTCAATTTAAAATCATGGATTTCTGTTGATCCCATTATTTGATCTGGAATCCGCTTGATGAATAAACGGCATGTATTCCTCTGCTAGCAGGGCAGACTTCCAAACTAGTAACAGTAAAAACATTTTCAGGAAAGAAAATACAATTTTTAATGGTTATAAATGCATAAGAATCCAAACCACAGTGAAAGAAAACCAGTTTTCAAAGTGGTGTTTTAACATTTGGACCGAAACTCTTCCTCCAGTCCTGTTCCCCTCTGGTTTCCGGATTGTGTGCGAGTTCATGCGGATCTCACTGCAGAACCTCATGCCTTTGGGTCTTAATGTCATTCTCCCATCTCCCTCCTACAACATAACTTAAAATGACCCCTACGATATTGAATTACTTTGCATTTTTGCAGTAATTCCCAAATGGCTTGTAGGCTTGTTCTTTAATTGGGCGATAAACAATGTTCAAATTCAAGCAGTTCATTTTGAAGTCAGCTTGCAGTCGTGATGGGTCAAAATGGTTTCCATGACGGTCAGCTTGTTTCATTTCCCCATGTTTCAAGAAGTTTAAAAAAGAGCTAAATATTGCGTCCTTTTTTCCTGAAATACTGAAATTACACAAACATACAGATCTTTTATGACCATGTTACTCAATTCTATTTTTTCCCCCACATGGCATTAATGGAGTATCCGTGTTTTCCTGTACCCAAACAATTTACTATATGACTGGGAAATAACCGGTCTTGTAGCAACTGTGTACTGGAAATCCAGTCACCCAATTTCCATACCATTAATCCAGGATAGCATTAAGCATGCCGAGAGCCTATTCCAGGATGCACAGGGCCTGGGATTCCTGGAAATCATGGAATCCTGGATACGGGATTCCAGCCCATTGCAAGCTGTACACTGTACACACCTACACTTACAAAAGTGCATAATTATTACTGTTGGTATCCATGAATTTCAACTCACTATTTAATGTTACTTGTAAGTTGACTTCATCGTGAGATGTTTCGTTGTACTCCATTCTGTGCTCTGTAAATATGAGTCAGAAAGCCCAACCTGAATTTTGCTCTGCATAGAATGAAACCTACATGAACAGAGAGAGAACAGAAACACAAATATGTGGTGTTTCAATATATTTGGTCTATAAATTACGGAAAACATTTGCCACCGTGTGACTTACTTTGTACTTTACAGGATGTAATCATCTGGTCTCACTTTCACGATGACTTGGTTTTTCCTATCCCTTCATGTGGTCTTGGGTTACTATGGAAATCCCAGCTTTGAAACATGCCATAGAGGTTTAAAAGGCTGATAAATCAATCCATTCCCAAGTCTTTGAGCCGACATTTGAGCAAGAAGGACACCATGCTCCGCAAGGTAATTTATCTTAAACTCTTGATATTCTAAACAAAATAGTATCACTTATTGGAGAGCTTCTCAGTTATTTTTAAAGAAATTTGCATCAATGAATTTTCTAAAACAAAAAGAACAAATAAACAATAGTAATATGCAATGGGAAAAGTGTGATGAAGTGTGATTTTAAATAGTGACTAAAACTTAAAGTCATTTCATACTGGAAGCTGTTCTATAATGTTCTTTTTGTGCAAGGTGACCTCACCCTTGTTCTGATGGTGTCGGTGTTAATTGCTAATTTTTCTACTGGCACAGAGTGTCACTCAGAGTTTTGGAGCTGCGATCTCCAGCTGGACCACGGACCACCTGACTGACACTGTGGTCCGGAGAAGTAAGCGGATGATGCTGGACACGCTCGGAGTGGGCCTTCTGGGAACCAGTACCCCAGTCTTCCAGACGGCCCTCCAGTACAGCAGGGTACTTGGCTTAACTTGTGGAGTTTTTGCACAGCACAAACCTGACTGCTGTCTTCTTGGTCCATATTAACCAGCATCACATTCTGGAATTATTTTAACACTCAGAGTTCATTGGTACTGCAACCATCACCGGGTGAAAGCAGCCTGAAGTTGAATGGAACCATCGCAGTAGCAAATGTAAGCAGTGTGTGATGTTCACAGAATTCTGTTATTGCAGAAATATGAAGCCAAAGAGAAAAGTTCTGTTTGGGGAAGACCAGGACTCACTCTACCGGCCCAGTATTCTGCTTTCGTCAATGGAATCGCAGTAAGTCATCTGTTAGCAAAAATATTCATCTTTTACATGGCATATCTACTCAGCAACTACATTTGAAGAAACTGTTAGAAAACGTTTGTAGAATAAAACATCTCAATGCAATAATATTCTTATTTGTAATCTCTGCATGTTTTTATAATCATAATCCTACAGAAAAGTCATAATAATGTGTTTATGTATATCCGGGTTGGTGCAGCTTTGCACACTGATTTGGAGTTAGTAATGATAATGATAATACATTTTATTTGTAATACTGAATGTGCTAAAGAGTAAAATACAACAGGGTGATAAAGTGAAACAGTAAAAATAAGCCAACAACAGGGAGAGAAATTAAGTGAAGACTAGATGCAACAGGGAACAATAATAATAATAACAATAATAATAATAATAACAATAATAATAATAATAATAATAACAGCTAAAATAACAAAATAAATAGCACATAAACATGAATACTAAGACTCTGAGAAAAACAGTTTAAATGAGTCCTGAGTTGTTTCTTGAAAACTTCCAGGCTGGGTGCCGTTTTTAAATCAGCCTTATCCATCCCTTTGGCAGATTTGTCCCAGGAAGTTTTAAACATCTCCGAACTTCTCAGCAGGGTTTAACATCAGCGCTCATTCACCTTTTATTCTTCATCCGCTCCAATCTCGCTGTGATCGTGTATGTGAAAGGTGCACTTTTTCCAAACGCAGGTGATGTTTTCTGCTACTTCCTTCCATGTGGTTTTCCTTCTTCTTGTAAGAAGATGTGCAGTCCCCCGTTGATGGGGAAACTCCCCATGGCCTCATTCTGCCATGATCAATCTTTTGCACTTTGCCTGGACTTTAACTAGACCTCTCACGTGATTTCCAGAAAAGTCTGTGTATTTTGAGGTGGTTCTTCTTTTCCAGCCCCCCATACAAGCTGCGCTTGTGAAATGTTGCTGACGCTGGGCTGTCAGGCCATTCTCAGCCATTGAACTCTTTGAATGCTTTTTCTTTGTGATCATCTGCCTTTCCTCAGCTCTCTCACCTTCTAGTTTGCACTTTGCATTTTGAAGAACTGACTTTTCTGACTATTTATCCAAATGTCATTTATCCAAAAGTAAGATTTTGGTTGAAAAAAAAATAGCCTGCTACTGCAATGGCTAAATAAGTATATATTCATGAAATCATTCTTTAATAGTTTTTTCCCTGCTTAATTTTTTTTGAATGTGTTTGCAGTAGAATGCCTTTATAAGTTGAGTTATTAACAGATATTTATTCATAACCTAAAGTGCCTTGAATCGAAATTCAACAGCTACAAGACATACAAATGCAAGTGTCTGAGTATGTATACCTTTCACAGGGAGCAGAATATATATTTAGATTGCGCTTTTAATTTGTCACTGATTTTACTGGCAGACACCGTCCTTCATCATTTGTAGCGGCTGTCATCGCTGATGCGGCTTGTTTCCATGGTTATGGGGGAGGTGCGTGTTGATAAAGCAGGGCGTGTGAATCGGAGTGGCAGAGCTCATCTCCCCCCGCCCCCCCCCGCAGGTGCACGCCATGGACTTTGATGACACCTGGCATCCGGCCACGCACCCCTCGGGGGCCGTACTGCCCGCTCTTCTCGCCCTGGCCGAGACGTTGCCCGACAAACCTTCTGGATTACAACTCCTACTGGCCTTCAACATTGGCATCGAGGTGCAGGGGCGCCTTATGAGATTCTCCAATGAGGCGCAGCACATCCCCAAACGGTACGCTGCCCCATCCGCTACTGAACCAAAGCCCTCCTGATGAATGTGACGTCACGCCCCCGCTACTCAAAAACAGCATGTTTCATTTTTCAAATATATATGACAACACAAAATATATTTGGTAAGGCTTTACATGAAGCGCACCTTCATAATGCATACATTATGCATTCATAGAACATTCATAAGCAGCATGCAAGTACACCTTAACATCCTAACATCCCTTAACAGCTTTCATATACATTAATAACAAACATTACATGATTATACAATTATAATGTTTGTTATTATTATATAATGTTTGTTATTAATATATATTACAGCTGTTAAGGGATGTCAGAATGTTAAGGTATACATACATGATGTTTATGAATGTTTTATGAATACTTAATGAATACATTATGAAGGTGCACTGAACGTTTTATGAATGCAATATAAAAGCATTATGAATGTGCAGTTAATGTAAAGCGTTACTATGTATTTTCTATGATCACTACAAATCAGTGTTGTATGATTATAGCCACATTCATACCAAAAACATGTAAGACATTCAATGGAAAATCTTATGGGAAAAATATAAAACTTTCACGTGAACTTTACATTTTTACGGTACATGATAACATATGGCTTTAGTGGGAAATACATGTTTATTGCTTGTTGTTTTTATATTATTCTCAAGAAAAACATTTGATCCATCCACATTCGGTTGGTTTAACTAGACATGTCAACTATGTCTTTGCGGAGCACAAAGCGGAAGCGCCAACGTAATGATTCCTTTTCAAAATACTCATCCTAGCTGTGTGGAACAAATACTGACAAGACATGAATTTAGTATGCATTGTACATGGATGTGGCACCTATATGTTAAATGACACGTTAAGTTAATATGCATTATATGTTTGAGTGTCATATAAAGAGCTTATATGATTTTGGGTAAAACTCATAAGAGTCTTATGATATTTTTTAAAAAATGCTTCCATGTTGGCATCTGTTCTAGGTTCCACCCTCCATCGGTGGTTGGTGTCATGGGCAGTACAGCAGCTACATCTAAGCTCCTGGGTCTTAGTGCTGCTCAGTGTGTGGAGGCGTTGGGCATCGCCGCGTCCTACGCAGGAGCCCCCATGGCCAACGCCGCCACCCAGACCAAACCTCTCCACATCGGCAACGCCACTCGTAGGGGTCTCGAGGCCTCCCTGCTGGCCCTCTATGGTTTGGAGGGCAACAAACACATTCTTGACATAGACTCGGGGTTCAGGGTGTTCTACAAAGATTATACGCCAACAGAGATAACAAATGGCATGCGAGGGGGGCCCTTCAGGTGGGTCCTAGAGGATCAAGACGTGGCCTTCAAACGTTTCCCGGCGCACCTGGGGATGCACTGGGTCGCCGAGGCGGCGGCCGCCGTCCGAGAGAAGCTGCTCGGGGAAGACCCCAACTTTGATTTCGGTCAGGTCAGGAAGGTGACACTGCGGGTGCCCCAGTCCAAGTACATAGACTGTCCGTTCCCTAAGACCGAGCACGAAGCCAGGCACTCCTTTCAGTTCAACGGCTGCTCGGCGTTGCTGGACGGCCACGTGTCCACGGATTCCTTCACCGATGCCCAAATTGAGAGAAAGACCCTGAAGGACCTCCTGCTCACGACCCAGATAGAGAACCCAGAGGACAATCCCTCAAACTTTGACAAGATGTACTGCGAGGTTCAAGTTCAGACAGCAGATGGAAGAATCCAGACTGCGAGGTGTGACACCTTCTACGGTCATTGGAGGAACCCACTGAAGCAGGTGGACTTGGTGAGGAAGTTCAAAGCCAATGCTACCACTGTGCTCTCTCTAGAAGTGGCCGAGGACATTGTCAGCATTATAGATGATTTGGAGAACATCCCAGACTGCACAGTGCTTGGCTCATGCCTTCAAACGATCGACCAATCAGCCCGTGGAGCTTCAGTCTGTGGTGCCTAAATTGCATTCTCCAAAAACCTGGAAAACTGAACTAAAAACACAATGTATACAAAAAAATTCTGTACAAAGATATATTGCAGAGCATTTTAGATTCAGTATCCTAGTTACAGTATTTAGCAAATGCTTTGATCCAAAGTGGCATACAGTTGAAATTGGGGTTAAGGTCCTTGCTTAAAGCCCAACAGTGACCTGACTTTGGTATTTGAACCAACAATCTTCCGATCACAGGAACACTGCTCCCCCCCAACTACTCCATGAGTAATGGGTAATACTGTATCATTTAATTCTGCATAATTAATTGAATGATTGTATATATAGTCTTTTTGTGCATAATTCTTACCTTACAGACTAATATATGCTAGGTGTTATTTTAAATTGCTAAATTATGTTTGCTCACTCTTACAAACCAATAAACAGTGTGTGCTTTCACAAGAGTCCAGTTCAGAAGGACCTGCACTGCTAATTGAATTTATTAGTCACAGTTGTGCATAATACTCTGTAAATGCGAGTCAAAAAACCTGAAATTTTCTCTATATAAAGAAAAACCTACATGAACACAGAGTAAAATCCACACACACAGCAATAGATTTTAATTTTTTTTAAACAGATCTGGTTAACTGCTGCATAACATCACAAAAATATTTGGTGTTGCAATACATTTGGTGTATTACAAAGATATATCACTGGAGTATGGGGTTTCCTCGCAGGGTCTACGCGAGCTTGAGTATGTCCTGCACCATCACCCCGATCCCATCAAATATCTCGTGGAGTGGAGCCTTGCACATGAAAGCGCAGGTGGTGATGATCTTGTTCTTCTCGTCAACGTGGGTCTCATTAACCTTCTTGCAGATGTGCTTGGAGCCCAGCTGGGTAATAGCCTCTGCTGTGGCTGGGACATCGGGGGACCTGGCAAATAGCAGCATGATGAGGCCCTACATATAAAATCACCTTTTATGGACTGTAGATCCCTAGCACTGCTGAATCATCTAAAATGGGAAAGGACTGACCACTATTACAAAGTAAACAATTGAAATAGATAAACTGGCATTTGCCCTAAAATGTATGCAACGTGTGCCACCTAGTGGTCAGTACTTTGTTACTGCATGTAGACGGAGAGGCCCAAGCTTGCCTGTCATCCTGCTTGTGACCCACGGTGACCTCACACCCTGGGAACACTTTGGCGGCCAGGACCGGAGAGATGCAGCAAAGGCCGATGGGCTTGTTCTGATTACGGAACGATTCCAGCGTGCTTCTGACCTGACCGTTCACAGAGCAATCCTTCCCCTCCACTGCCCAGGTGCAAAGATTCTTCGCCACCCCAAAACCACCTGGCGAAGATGTGAAAAATATAGTACGCGTGTCCAAGGTGATGATTACACAAGGCAGACGGTACGTTACAGGCATACAGCAATCAGGGGAGCCAGTCTGGCGTAAGAGTCTTAGGCTGAACTTCCAGGGAATTACCAGCAACAACTGGAAGTTAGAACTGGAGCAAGAGCTGTACAAAACACAACAAGCACAGCAAGAAGCTGAGACACAAACAAGTGGAAAAAAAGCATTTAAGATACACAAGAGATCACAGATGAAGAGAGAATATGTCAGTGGTTTGCGGACTAGCTGTGGTGTTCCCAAGCTAGATACAGTACTGCACAAAAGTCTTTGGTAGTGAAAGAAAATGATGTTTATATGATCTTTGGATCGGGGTGAAGCTATGACGATGTGTCTGTCAAAGCGCCATTTCAAAAGTCACCACAGCCTTTGCCATAACCATCCAGTATACCCATTTACTTTTTGACTCGATCACTAGCATATCATGTTTGGCTAATCAATATCTCACTAACCTGTTTAACTAATTAGATTAATTAACAGAGCAGGTGGTGAGATGCATGGAATCCATGGAATGGTTGGGGTGCCCCTCAGGAAAGGCATTCAATCGTTTTGTTCATTTGGGTAGCAAATACACACTTGCTACCCAAAAAACACAGCCTCAGACACTTTCTTTGAATGCCTAAGACTTTTGCACAATACTGTAGGTCTTGAAATTTTATCAAGGGTTAAAATGTCTCAGATTAAAAACACGACACCTCTCCAAAAGGTTAATTAGAAGACACAGCTGTATTCCTAATGATTTTGCATCGTAAGCCAACAATAGGTGTTCGAGACTAAGATTGTTGTGGCTCAATTTATGGAGACCCATTTTTAACTCACTCCATCCCGACAGACAGATCTGAGTTCAAACTTTCCTTGGGGAACATATTTGACTACTCACTCATGCATGCAAGTAACACTATTGAAAAGCAGCTGTCTATCAATTTGAAGAAATTTAATTACTCAAGTAAACCGCAAGCGTAGGGCCTTTCACACTCAAATTTCATATCAAGTAAAGTTATAGTTTCAGCTGCTTAAGTTCCATACCAGGGAAAATGACAGCATCCATTTCATTAACATCAAGCTGGGACAGATCTTGGATATCGCCCCTTGCCAGCCTGGCACTCTCCACCAGGACGTTTCGCTTCTCCTCCGTGGGAGCCCCCTTCAGATGGTCCACTACGTGCATTTGATCGATATTAGGTGCAAATATTTTCACCTGAAAAATATGGCAATTTCTCATTTATACAGCAACCCCTGTTATGAGAATAGCTCTGGGTTTAGGAATAGCTTTATGCAACTTGCAAACGACACACCGTTTCTTGGTCTGCGCAAACACAGGGAGTTGTACTCATACGGATGAAGACAAAAAGCATCGGGAAAACTTACAGTTGCTCCACCGCGACTAAGATGGACCAGCACTGCCGACGCCTCGTGAATTTCACTGCCGTCGAACACCCCACAGCCAGCCAGAACGACAGCCACGCGTTTGCTCATTTTAACTTGGGCTTCAAAAACCTCCGAAGACCCTGACAGACACCCAACAAAGTCACCGGCACAGACTTGCGTTGTCAGTGGAGCAAACTCTAATTTCAGCTTCAACGTCGCTGTATCGCCCTCTAACGCCCCGGCTGTGTTACTGCAACTTTTACATTTATAAACAAACTCCTGGACGTACTTCCTCTGTACCACGCAGCGATGGCGGAGTGTCAGGTTAAGTCGCGGAGGGCTGGTAACGTTTCATGTTGCTCACTGTAGACGTACATTAATATGATTTAGAAAGTGGAAGCAGAAAATGCACGTCCGCCAACTTTCCCGCACGCGGGCTAAACACACCATGCTATGGCACTATGGTCGCGATCAAGTCTCTCAATAATATAGGGGAGTAAATGAGCCCCCCCCTCTCTAAGTGGTACAGCCCCGTAGGGCGCCTACGTAGTTCGCTATGACAGGGAGCTAGAAAGGATGGACAGTGGCAACAGTAAAGAGAAAGGACAGAGGTACTGCCGAGAAAGTAAGAAATAAACAGAGTAGTAGAATGCAGTGAAATGCTGTGAAATAATGGGTATATTCCCGAGGACCGAGTAAAACCACATCAGGTGGGCAATGTCCAAAGGCCAGCAGGGGACGCTGTAACACTTTATGTGACTGTCTTGATTAGGTTACGTCACATTTCTTATAAAATGAAACATCAGGAAACTTTTATCAGTAGCTCACCAGCTGAGTTACCTCACCATCGCAAATAAAGATGGTGGGGTTTAAAACCGATTGCAATATTGCAGAAAATTAGTGTGAGTGAATGCAACATGGAAAATATAGAAATACACATTTGGTAGCGTTTTGATCTCTCAGATTCAGGGTTCATAGGTTTGAATCAGCCCCTCCCTGTTCTTGTGTCAAGCATCATCATTGTTAATTTATCTAAGCTAGTTGGCTCATTCAGAGGTGCTATATAATTATCATCTGACAAATTATTCAGTAAATCTTGAGGTATTTTTTTATTACATGAGCAAGTCATGCAAAGCAGATGATCTTAACCATTAAAGCTGTAACTAACCAATGTCTGCAAACATTTTTGGAGCTGTAGCATTGTAGTCAACCTTGACATAATGTAGCTCCTAGAGGGCAGAGTGGTTCCGGAGGCAGGTATGGAAGTCCATTCGGACGCGCACCTCCAGGTTCAGGAACAGTTCCTACCCAACTGCAATCAGTCTCATGAACAATCAGTAACCTTGTGTCACCCACACATATTTCTGCCACTGTCTCTATTTATTCCTGGGATTCTGGTCTTATTTACTTATTTATAATTCACTTCAACATTACATTCACTTGCCCAGTTGTCTAGTTGACTTGTTGTCTATGTCCACTGTCTGCAGGAGCACATGCAAGCATTTCATTGTACGCGGTACTCGTACTTGTAAACATGACAATAAAAGAACTGATTTGAAGGCAAGATTGTGGACTTGTTGTGTAAATTAGTGCAGCACAAACATTTCTTAATATTGAGCTAGAGAATTTCATTCTGCACCAATACCAGTGAAATAAGGGATATTAATACTATACTTTATTAATAAGGTGTCACCTTACTTGTTTGGTTTTTGCAATATATTAGGAAATACTGGCACTAGTACCGATAGTGCATTTTGCAGCTTCACACTACAAAGTGTAAATTCATTTACAGCTCTCTCTATAAAGGATTCTTCAAATCTTTTAAAGATAAAAAATGAAACACCAAAAGAAAAAAAAAAATCAATACATCACAAAAAGTTTATTCCCAAAAAAAAAAGCATTTCCACAAACACTGGATTTTGTTTCATGACCAATACTCAGTAAAATACACAAAGCAGCTGCTATACTGAAGCAAAGAACAGCAAATTGAGCCTGAAAAATGTTTTAATAACAGCTCACTTTACTCTTAATGAGCAAAATCAAACAGCAATTCATATAGGAAACTACTATCCTGAATGCTACTAACTTAGGTAATGCTATTAATGAAAGGAATACATCAGTAAAGTGCAATGAGGAAAACATACATCTTTGTTTTCCTGCATTCAATTTTTAATCAAGGCTCATATAAAATTCCCTAACACAGTGGGGGTTAGGAAAAAGTAAGGATGTTTCAAGTGTACTGCCTACTCTCAGGCAGAGGTGGAAAGTTCAGGTCCAGAAAGTAAAAATCCAGACCACGATTTTGTTTCAACCAACCAGTTGAGTTTTCTGTGACTCTTCATACTCAATTAGCTGGTTGGAACAAAATCTTGGTCTGGATTTTTACTTTCTGGACCTGGACTTTCCACCTCTGTGAAAACTGATCAATTTTAAAGGTCCAACAATTTTTGAATGAAAGCCTATTTGTTGCCTCTCTTCCAATATCGTGTGGATACGGGCACTGTACAACAAACTAATCCTAATCCCATAGATTATATAAACCAAATGTTGTGGCATTAATAATAAATGAAAAACAAATCTGGCTGCAAGTTATCAGCCAGTTGCCATTAGAATATGGACTGTGTTGCAGTTCTTCATTTTAAGATTATGATGTCTATACAATGCGTAAATTATCTACAAACTCTTAATTGAAAACCCAAGATAAACAATTTACCTGCACTAGCATAACTTTTATAGATTCGATCACATCTACACCAAGACTCACTGTTTCTACACTGTAACTTACAATTATACATAAAATAATCAGTGATAATACAAAAGCAGTTGTATTATATTAATAAATAACAAAAAAAAAAAATCAAATCCAGTACCTAGGAAAGGAAAAACTAAAAATGCATCCATTGAAAAGATTACTGCCATCCCACTCGTGTATAAAAGACACCAACTGTTAAAGGTCACACCCTGACAGAGGGCGTAGTAGTGAAATAACTACATTTATATTTCTATTCTCAAACACACAGCATTTTACATACAGAAAAGACAGGACTTCCTTCTTAAAGGAACATTTATAAAGAATTTCACTCATTTGGGTGGTTTTCACTGCTGCCTGAACCCTACACCTCTACTGCACATGTTTGAGGTCTGTATGTTCTCCCCATGCTTGGCACCGTTCCTCATGCAGTCTAAACATGTGCAGTTAGACTGACCAGCCCTGGACCGCCACCCCATGTACGATCTACCCCTGCCTCGACTTCGGCGACCCCTCCAGACCAGGATAAACAGAAGATGGATGGATATCACTCACATTCTGCCAAATCTCATTGGGCGTAGTAACTTAAGTGTAAATATCTTCTCTTCTGGCCTGACAGTAAAACTGTAAAGTAAATATACAGGTCAAGCCATCAACAGCAGTGTTTGAGTACAATGGACAAAGGGCAAAAAACTAAAATTAAAACCTGCAACAGATCCACATCTGCTTATCTAAATTTTAAAATTACACATTTGATTTCCCCCCCCAAAGTGTTTTAATGTATTCATTTACTCCCAAAAAGAAAGTAAGACTGAGAAGTACTAAAGCAGAACTCTTACCATCCATGTTCAGGTACCCGTTCCTATCTGTAAGGAGCGTATTTTTTGTTGAATCGTTTTATTGCTTTATATTACCGTTTTTTTGTAGCTAGATACGTCCATATGACAGAAAACACAAAACAGTGCAAGAGAAAAGCCGTCTTTCATTCTAGTCATTTGACCACTACTGAAATATTCTAAAAGAAATCCCTTTGTTAATATTGTACATCATTTGGTATCAGTACAAGGTGCTTCAGGTTATGGAAAAACCATATTCTAAAATTTTCTTGAAAAGAAAACATTGCACTAATTGTTGTCATTAAAACGTTTTGAATTGCATGCGGCAGGACAAAAAAAAAAAAAAAAAAACTGATAAAAATTAGGGACACATGCCGAGGGTGATGACATTTGGGGTAATTACAGGATCATTAACCCCCAGTCGATTGTCACATGGCACACCGCCGTGATTTGTTGAAAAAAGCCAATTCGCAAAACCATCATGATCTGGCGACTTTAACCGAAAAGCTTTAATCTACCTGTCATTGAATAAAGTGAACCCCCCCCCACCCCCAAGAAGTCTCTCTTTTAGCAAAAGTTGCTCCTTCCATGTGCAGTATTCGAAGCGGCAGACAAACTAACACAGACACGCTGCCCGTACTACATTCCACAAACCAAATCGAGAAAATAAAGTTTCAAATAAAACGTATATACATAGCTCAATTTGTTCAAAGAAGGGGTGGGTATTAACTGACCAAAACGGCCCATAACTGCATTTACAAAGGTAGAAAATGTCTGAATTCCACATTTTAGGATATCTGTGGAGAATCAGGTCTGTTAGTGTTGTCTGATTTGCGGGTCTCGGTTACTGACGTGCCGGGATAAAACGCCGAGCTCGGGGAGGGTTCTGGGAATGATCTACCAGGTAGGCATCATGTCGGGGAACCAGACCCGGCCCAAGTGCTTGGACACCTCCCAGTGGATCTCATCCAGGCTGTACTTGTGGTCGGGGATGAGCACCTCCTCCATGATGGAGAGCTGGGAGAGCCGGCGGCCGCACATCTTGACGAACTCGACGAAGGCGCTGCAGGAGACCTCGCACTCGCCCAGGCCGATGGCGGACAGGTGCTGGCAGCGCTGGGCGATGCGGATCAGCTCCTCGTCCAGAGGCCTCAGTCCGTTGGCGCACACCACCAGCTCCACCAAACGCGGGCATGTCAGGCCCACGCGGCCCAACACGTCCTTGCTGACCGAGCGACCGAAGTAGAGGTGTGTGACGGGGATCTCGTCGCGGAAGAAGGGCCCGAACTCGTCCTCGTACAGGAAGAAGTACATGACCAGGTTGAACTTGGGCGAGTGGCGCATCATGGCGTCCCAGCTGCTCTTCTTGATGGTGTGGAACTGCGTCTGGCCGGGGTCCTCGCTCACCACGTCGATGCGCAGGTGCTCCAGGTGCACGTGCTTCTCCGAGGACAGCGCCAGCAGCAGCTCGTCGCTCAGCAGGTGGTAGTTCAGGGCCAGTTCCCTCAAGCCGTGACACTGGTCTGCCACACAGAGGATCCCTGCAAACGCAGCACAGACGACAGGAGCTGCACGTGCTGGACAAACGCTCACGTGTCACGCATGCTCTTTACGCAGCATCAACTGCAATCACAAATTCTGACTACCTTTGACATTTATAGGGCAAAACAACCTACTGCCCCCCACCAATACATCCAGCAGGACAATCTGCCCACTATCTGTTGCTAAATGCCATATATCCAAAGAGTGCTATAAAAATAATTATGATGTGCTCATATTGTTTTATCACTTATCACATGACAGGGCAAATGTCTGCGGAGAGGAATGCCACGTGTTGCTTCTCCCTAACTGTCATATCCAGGGACTCCCATTCCAGTAATCACAGGAAACCAGGCAGGGGACACCCACCAATGCCAGTCTAACATACACAATCACACAACAGGGGCGATTTAGAGACATTAACCTACTCAACTGCCCGTCTGTAAACTACAGGAGCCGAAAATATTAACTCCACGCAAGCAAAGCTGGGTACAGGAAGTCATTTTTATTGTTTACAAAATAAACTTGCATGTGCAGTGAGCTACGCCAAACACTGCCAATGGGATAGCAAAGCAAAGGCTGTGGTTTCAAATCCCACATACATTGTAATCCTTTCCCCTACGTAAATTTGGATTTGGATTAAAACATCAGATAAATGAATAGTCAGTCAATTTGCATATCTTTTCATGTAACCTTTTGGACTGAATATAGACGAATCCTCAAACTTTACATATTACATGTTAGAAATACATGACATTTTATCTGTGTTATGGAGGTGACATCAAATGGACCTCTGCATGGAATTGCCCCAGTGCACCTTCATACTGTGGCAAAGCGGACTCCCCCTGCCTCGGGTGCCTACCTGCAGGAGAGACATGGGGACAGCTGCTCATCTTCAGCAGCCTGAGCGTATCGCTGTTGTTGGCCACCAGGACCTTAAGGGACGGGTCGTCCACCGGCGTGTCGTCGATCTTCAGGGACGACAGCGACTTGGAGTTGACGAACACCACCGTCAAGGCGGAAATAAAATGTGACTGGCGAAGAGAGGAAGCCAAAGGTGAGTTAGCGTGTAGGAGAGACCGGCACCAGAGAGACATTCCGGAGCACCGACCGGGGGGGGGGGCAGGGTACCTTTGGCATTTCCATGAAGCTCGGCCTGGCTGTGGAGATGAGGCCCAAAGTCTTGAGGGAGCAGTTAACCAGCTGTGAGAGGATGTCACAGGCAGCCTCTGCCGACTCGGTGCTACTGTCCACCTGGAGACACACACACACACACACACACGCTGCTGCAGAAGGCGTGTATACCCAACTCACACAGCTTTAGCACACGGAGACCGGCGACTGCCCTCATTACTCCACAGGATACGGGAAGCACATCCAAAGGCTAGAATGTGTCAGTTATCACTCAGTCAACGTTTCAGAAAAAATTAATTCAATAAACAATAATTGTAAAAGGTATACATATGAAAAAATAGCTGTCATATCTGTGCAACTGTGTGTGCAAATGTCTCATATATTTTTCTTATTTATTTCTATTGTCGTAGTTTCTTTTGGTTTGTTGTCTATTGTTCTTTATCTTTAGGCTGTTCTAACAAATAATTTTCCCCAGTGTGGGATCGATAACGCTTTATTTTCAGATGCCTCTGAAAACAAATATATTTAAATTAACCTAGGGCTATTTTTGCTAAGAAATACGGATTTCTTTGAAGTGCAGTTGCAGTCATCAGAAAGCCTGACTTTGGTCAGCATGACTGGGCAGCAGGTCTGGGCAGGGAGGACCCCGCAGAATGTTGGAGGCTGCGGCTTGGGCACCTTGAAGCTGACGTACTGCAGGTGGTTGGAGTGCCTCTTGATGATCTGCTTGATGAGGTCCGGGTGGGTGGCCTTCAGGTAGGAGCTGGCGGGCTGGTTCAGTTCGAACTCAAAGCAGCGCCACAGCTCCGGCATATGGAAGGCCTGGTTCCAGCTGCGGCACACCTGCGAGGCGTAGGCCCGGTCCAGCAGCGGCAGGTACTGAAACACGTGCAGCAGGATCTCCTGGGGCAGGCGGCCCCAGTTGGAAACGACTTCATCGGGCTCCTGGTCCAGCAGCCGCCCCTTCTTACAGGCCTCCAGAGGTCCCTCAGCGGAGGAGCTGCAATCCTTCTCATCTCCATTTAGACCTCTCTTCATTCTACTGAGACATCGTTAAAATCGTTTTAATGTTAATGTTCTAATATGATCCATTTATTGAGTAGGCGATATTCAGTGATACTAGAAAACAAAGCGTATACAAAAAGGTACTGATTTTTAGTAAAACATCATACATTTCCATTTATTCGAAATATAACAGTTGATTCAAATAATCAAAACAGTTCAACGACGAGGAGGCCACTTGCCCAGCCAGCGATCAGGTTAACGCATACAAACCAAACATCCCAACCTCGCTTCTAATAATAACTACACAGTTTTTACAAACTCCCGATTCAGTCTTAGCATGCCAACTCTTCTTCTAAACCTGGTTACGTTACACCTTTATCAGAAAGCACAAGAAGTAGTTTGACAACCCTGCTGTTCGGTAAATAAACACTGCGGACAGCTAACGAGGCTAGTTAGCCGCCTAGCCGCTAGCCAGCCGCCGCATATGTCGCAGCTCCATATTAACCCTAATAACCGCCGTCATAACATTAGCAGCGGTGGCTACTGCAAGCAGTCGGTATAACGAGCCCGGTCAGCTTTGGCAGCCCCGTGGCCATACGGTGTGCTGGTTAATTAGACGTCGGGACTGGCTGGCCGCCCCTCTTACCTGCTTTATCGTGTATATATTGAAGCGCAGTGGGAAAACAAGATCGCCTTCGACATCAACCCGGCCCTGCGCTATGAAACCTCATTCGAGCAGACCGGTCGGTTACATTCATTAGGCTCTCTGTCGATGCGCAGCGATGCTGGGTGGCTGTCAGGTCTCGACGGCACGTCAAACGCCTTGTTTTTGTCCGATTTCCGCACTGTGACCCAATTCCTGCGCCGTTATGCTCGCCCTGACTGCTGAAAATGGCGGCGTGTTGTTGTTGCGCGGAAGCCGCACTGTATTGTGGGTATTCCAGATACGCTAGTTTGGATATCCAGCTGAGAGCCAGCAATTACCTCTCGGAAAATGTTTGTCTTTAGATAATGACCGAATGTGACATATACTGAATTTTAAATAAAATTAATGTTCCATCACAAGTCGTCTTTGTTTTAACGACCAGGACATTCTATATAATCAAGAACACAGCCATTCTCTTCACACAATCCTACTAGGTGATCAAGCAAAGCTGACAGTGAATTTTGTCTCACTGTACATGTGGGAATACCTTGAAACTGTCTGCTGTCCATTCACAGTTTAGCTTGTAATTAGCGAGGACATTGTGTGCAGCCACGCAGGCAGAAATTCACTGGCTGTTAGATGATTTAAAAACTAAAATAATAATAATTGCCACTTTTCTTTTAAAGTAGTCCCCTGCAATATAGGCTGTGAACCAAAGAAATTGGTTTATTATTATTCAGCTCCATCTCCAGATATTATTACAGAGCAGATTTACAAATGTTAATATCAACAGCAGTTAATCCACACCTTAAGCCAAGCCCCAATGACCATTTAATCTCACATTGGTTTCCTAATCATATTTGCAGTCAACATTACACCTCAAAATGATACATCACTATTCCATGTCATATTTTTGGTGTAAACAACAGCCCCCCCAAGTCTGTATATTTATACAATTCAAATTATAGTAAAAAAAAAAAAGCTTGTACCACATTACTAGTGAAGGATTGACAATACATTATCATACATACATGAAGACGATGCAGACAGGCTTCTCAACATTCCCAGCGTACAGATGCAATCCGACACTGTACTCGACAGGTTTCATTGTATAAAAATGTACAGTGGCTTTACTAACATACACGTTTCATATGTTAACAGCTGCAAGGTGGGAGGCACACTGAGTTTTGCACTTCATTAAAATATCAGGCTCAAAACACAACCCCTGCATCCTCAGAATGTAGTATCCGCTTCAGCATTTGCCCGTTATAGACGCCACCATTATATACATTTGATAAATCATACACTACATCTCAGAAACATAATATTCCTAATAGCCTACTTTCATCAATCCATCATCGTGTTTTTTTTCTTTTTTCTTCTTTTAACGCATCATGTAGTTGAAAGTTGAGAATACTGTACAGGAAGGCCAGAAAATTCAGTATACATACAATAATATATATTTGTACCCATAGTATACATGTTCACATTATTCTCCCACATTGATCCACATTTACTGAGAGCTGGGTTTTATTTCGAGTTTATGGATGCGATGCTTTAACTCGGCGAGCAGGAAGTGTACATCGTCTGTAACGGTCTTGGCATCCCGGGAACTTCCGTGCCGGCGCCTGGCTTGCGGATCACGAGGGTGGCCTGTCCACCCTTTTAGTGACAGTGGGACCAGCGACAAACGGGGTGCAGAAGGTGGGGGTTCAGAAGGTGTGGGCGTTCCGACAGACCCCGCAACCCAGGGCGAATTCCTCGCCGGTGGGGGGATGCACCACATGCAGGGGGCATTCTGTCCCTTCCAGCTGCTTTCCTTTAGGACCTGAAAATGGAGGGAGGGGCGGATTTAAAATACCTGATCTTGTGTGGCAGCACTTGCTGACTATAGAGATGAGAGACCCTCTGTGGCTGAATAGCAGAGCAGGCGGTGAGATGATCTGCTTACCGGCAGGACAGTGAGGAAGCTCCTCCTTAGGGATGCTGGTCATCCTCTGAAAGTCGTCATGGCATGCATTGCAGAAGTGTGTGGTCCCGAAGCAGAAGAACACGGCCACAGAGCAGCAGTAACGGCATTTGTACTCCAGGAAGTCCGTGCCGTGTTTAGAGCACATCTGCACAATGCAAGTCAACATATTTCATTAAGACTGCGTGCGAGTTTTCCTGCGCTACAAATATTTGACTGAGTGAAGATATAGGATTATTGCAGGCATAGGACTCCAGCACCCATTCTGCACGGCCCACTGACCTGTGCCCGCGAGACATCAGAGCAGCCTCCGCAGATCAGCTCCCGAGGGTCATAGTCGTCCCCCTGTCCCGCCTCCGCGTCACACCGAGCCTCCCCTCCAAAGTAAGCCTGAAAATTGCTGTATCCGTTAGCCATATCCAAGCCACTACCACGTATCCTTTTCTACTCCGTTGTGCTCACACGCTTAGCGACTAAAATCTATAAATCATGTCCTTGAGAATATAACCCATTATTTCAATTCCCGCTCCCCCAAAATAGGGACCCATTTCGAGAAGCATTAGCGCCCCTCTCGATTATCCTGTGAGCATCCAAGTCACAATAGTTCATATAATACCAGCCTAGCATCAGTGAGGCTATAGGGCGGCAGGCTTCTACTGCATGAGGCAGCGCAGATGAAACACAGCCGGCCGGCCTCTGCTTCCCTGGGTCACTCCTCCGTACCTTTTTGCACTTGTAGCACACATAGTAAGCGTATCGGTTCATGGCGAAGCCGGCCGGGTCGTTGTGGAAGCGCGCTCCGGGGGTAGTGATCGCCTCACTCTTGTGCAGCCCCTCGTACTCCAGTCGCATCAGAGCTTTCCTCCTCACGTCCTCGTACAGCTCCTTTATGGGGTCCAGCAAGTCCTTTATGACCGAATGGTTAATCTTGTTCTGAAAGACATCCAAAAGATAAATCAGATGCACATAATTCAGGAAGGAAATGCAGGACACGATATGTAACGATACTACAGACAATCCCTCCAGTGAGTAGTGAGAGCGCCACCTGTGGAGGATCTGTTCACACACGGGCCCCGACAGATGTCAAGGTGACATACCTTGCAGATAGGGCACGACATGAACCCAAAGGTTATCCTTGGCCCCAGCCAGCGGTTCTCCAGGACCCGCCGAGTGCACTGGAGGTGGAACACGTGAGTGCAGTCCAGCTGTAGACAGAGACAAAGCACAGCAAGTTGTCTTTCTATTTGTTCTATACTGGATCCCCTATAATTGCTGTTTTTTTTTTATATAGCATTTAAAAAGCCAGTGTAAGCTAGTTACATACGGCCAAATAAAACCGTAATTATCCTTCTGAAAAGCGTGAACAGAATGTGGCCTGCGACAGAGACCTGGATGGCAGGGGCGGCTGACAGCGCCTCAGTGAAGCAGATCATGCACATGTCATCGGCGTCCTGCTTCAGGTAGGTGGCGCTCTTGTCACACCCGTGCAGGCAAGGCAGACAGTGCTCCTCGTTCTTCACCCCACCGCACGGATGTCCGCATGGGTGCGTCCTGCTGCACGCCAGCTTGGCGTACTCCTGCACGGGGGCGCGAGAGAGGAGGTGCTTAGGAAAATAAGACTGTGACAAAGCTGCATATTCTAATGGGTATAATAAACATCCTCCTGCAAGAGTATCTCAAACATAAATATAGTAATTTCAGTTGCTTAGCAGTCTAGTTAATATAGTACAAATAATCAGACATAATCAGGAAGAATGGCAAATATTAAATTACAGACATGCAGAATGACATTACAGTGTTGATGCAGACGTATTAAATATAAACAACGTCCCCCAGCAGCCTGCAGGAGGCAGAGTGAGATGTAACACTCTCACCTGGCAGTCGGGATCGGAGCAGACGCTGCCCACTGCGGAGAGCTCTGTGCCGCTCCTGGTGCCACAGAAGCGACAGGCCTCCGAGCTGCTGGACGCTGGTTTGCCTGGGAGAGGGAGGCGACAAGAGAAACACTCTCAGCTTCTAAGGTGAGGCCTACATGGACCATTAAATCCATTCATCTGACCAATGACAAATAAAAGGCTGTTTTAAGCCGAGTTTATCCTCCAGCTAATTGAAGCTTCATACTTTGGAACTACAAAATAAAGTATGACAACTATATCGGAAAAATGAAATGAAGATCAGCTGTAATTAGATGGATGTTCGAATAGGGTTGCAAAGGAGTGGTAAATTTCTGGAAATTTTCCAGAAACTTTCCATACCATGGGAAGTTAAGCTGGAGAATTTTGGAAATATTCCAACTTCCCATGGGAATTGCCAGGAATATATGGGAATTAACAGAAAATTCCCACAATTTTGTGACCCTATGTTCAATGTCGCTCTGCTCTAACATTACCGGTGTGTTCCCGAAACTCCACCATCGCCTTCATGGTCTTGGAATCAGCCAGCGCCATCAACCAGAAGAGTTTGGTTCTCCCACAGCCTTCATGAAGGTCCACTTTAATGGCTTCTTCTTCCTCTTTGAACACCTGTAAGAAATCAAGTGGAATGTAGATAATGAATTTGCAGCACTGCTGATGTGAGTAAGGTATTTAGGGGCAACACGAACCCCTGTAGAGTGAGAGAAGTGGTTACTCCGGAGCCAACAGGGACACAGACCTGCCTCTGGTGCGAGCGCGTGCGGCGGTGCAAGTGCAGGAAGCGGTCACAGTCCGTGCACAGATTGCCACAAACGTTACACAGGATGATGGCGGCAGTCTCCCCGTCGTCATGGTTATCGCACATGGGCTGCGGGGGAAGCCAGAGCAGCATGTTAGCACTCCTATCTCACCATACTTTGGGGACCCAGACTGAACCACAAAATAAAATAAATAAAACTGATTTCTGCAGACTTGCTCTACAAGATCAGGATCTCCGGCGTTGAGGGGGATTCGGGATGCGATTTTTATTTATTTTTTTACTCCACGTTGTTTATCAACTGCTGATTGAGGCCATAAGGCCTGGAAGTTACAGGTTAATTTTTTATCTTCAATTCACAAAAAACTCATTTCTAGCTAATTCTCACGCCTGAAATGACGTCAATCTTATTTCTACAGGCGCAGAAGAAGCAGCAGCTCCTTAAAGACGACGAACAGGCACAACCCACACACAAGCACCTCTCCTCCACACCCCAGGCTGCCATACCATCTGTTTCTGCTGGCCATCCTTGCCCATCCAGCGGCCAGAAGACAGCCTGTCCACGTGGTCTTGGTCGAGCACGCAAAGTGAGGCCAGGGCCAGCCAAAGCTGCGGGGAGAACACATCGATCTCTCAGAACGTG